CCTATTGATGCAGTTATCCTTACGGCAGTACTTGCTTGAACATCCTAGTTCAGTGTCTGGGTAGCCGTCAAGGTCAGAGTCAGGGGCACAGTCACCACCGACGCCAGCAAAACCAACAGGGCACTGGGAGTAAAAATGCGAGCCAATGTTAATATCTGCACCATTTCTATGGTTGGACCCAGACCCTAGTTATGGTAAAGGCCATTTGCAACATGACACTTGCAAATTCAAGGATTGAATGAAGGTTAGCAAGTTAAGGACCCTTACAGGTCATTTTAAGCACTATCAAGTGTAGACAAGTCAAGTTCCGCCAATTTTATACTAGGAATCTAGGCTTTTGCAATATTATCAGTGCCTTTAAAAATTAGGTCTCTTATTGATCAAACTCTTATAGCCGTCTTCCCAATACACATGTTGCAAACTTCCCAGCTTAAATATCCAATTTACTGGATCCGACCACAGTGGGACTAGATTTACATGTATGCAACCATCAACAGGCAAGTTGATTTTAACCATGCACATCTTAGTGCAGTCGAAATTAATTACCAATTAAATTACAAAGGTTATTACCTGCAAGACATAGCAAGTTTCTCCATCACCAGTATATCCCGCAGGGCAGGGGCCACAGGTGTAGAAAGGTGCCATGCTTGTAAATGTACAAGTAACCCCACTAAAGCAAGGATTTTGCAAACATGGATCTGCAAAGAAAATTTATTTTAAGAGTGCATATCAGGACTATCAAACTTTTATAGGAAATCTTAGCTGCCAGTTTTCCATATTGCCTAGGTAAAAATCTGAACTGACCAGACTTACCAGTCTCTGGACAATGACCATCTGGGATCTCGCAATGTGCAAAGGGATAATCTGCGTACTCTTCCGTTGCCTCTACACACTTGCCTGTCCCAAAGCTTTCTTCACTCCACATGTATCCATGGGGACACTGATAGCGCAGTTGTACCATCTGGCCAAATTCCATGAAACATTCGAAGTAATGCTGCATGTTGAGGGGGTCTGGAAATCTCCCCTCCTGTTGGCACACGAATTTCAAGGTGCAAGGATCTTCACAGCTCTTGCTTCTCTCGTTGAACAATTGGTTTCCACTGCACATGAAGAACTTCTGCAGCCAGCCATGTCTCAAGGGAATGCACGAGTAGTATTCCCCACAGTTTTGGGTGTTTGCAAAGGTTCCAGATTTAACACATTCTGGGAAGCCAATTTGGTTCACACACTGGGCAGAGCCTTCATCAAACTTCTTTCCATCTGGACACTTGTAGCTTTGTGGCTGGGAGCCAACATTCTCACACGAGAAAAACCTCTGTGGGTCATAGGGATCAACACGGAACTCGTTTGGCCTCAAGCACATGCACTCGTCAGGTTCATCAGGGTAGCATACAGCGCCTCCAAAGCCAAACTTATCTGTACAATAAAAATCCTCCGTGCACTGACGTACGAAAGCTTGTCCCTTTACACAGTGAACCAAAGTCTTACAGCTGGCGCACATGAAGCGGTTAGGCTCACTTTCACATATTTGCGAAAAAGGGTGGTATTCATTGGTAATACTGCGTTCGTGACGTGAAGCACACTGGGGGTGGGGGTATACAACCATTAGAATCTCGTCTTTTGTATTAGCAGCAACAAATTCCAATATAACCCAAACTTACCAATTCAGTAGAACAAGTCCTTGAAGTTGCATTGTAAGCAAATCCGTTGCAATTATCTTTGGTTACACTGAATCCACCATCTTTGATTATACATTCTATAAAGACACCACAGGTGCTGGTGTCAGGGAATCTCCCTTCACCAGGGCATTCATATCTGGAATATTTTTTTTTTTGTTTAGATTCCATTCTATAGGATATATCCAAGATTAATATACACTAGTTACTTACCCATATATGGCTCCGGGTGTCAACCCCAGGAAGATCTGAAATGTCATTTAGTGGTTAATTTTAAACTTCTTGCAGTTGCTGGCAATTGCTGTCCAAAGACTACCGATACACGTCCATAGTGGCATCTTATCAGATGTCTATTTAACAAGTGCCTTATACTTTTAGGATATGCGTTCATTTTTACATTTGAAAGTAATTTCAGTAATTAGTTTTAGTATACATCATTTCTATTAATTTATCAAAGTAACCACAAGACTATCACGAAACAGTGTTTTTTACATGTTAACCATTCAAGTCCAATTTTAAATTGTTACTATTCTCGCTCAAATGTCTTCGTTATAGGTTTCGAACGCTTATGAGAACACTACTTACAGTAAAAAGTGTGGAAAGAAACGCCATCTTAGAGAAGCGCCTGACGACTAGACGCATTTCCAGGGGTTATGTAAACAATGAAACAAGGAGAGAGAATTCTACTACCGCAGTAATTTCCATGCGTCGCTAGACTGCACTCCATCTATCAGTAATGCACATAAAGAAAACGAAGATCTTTATTTTTTCATTGTCATTATTATTACTATTGTTATTATCATGATCAACATCATCATCATCATCATTACAATCATTATTGTTATTGTTATTATCATTACTATTATTATGATTATTTATTATTATTATTACTAGTATTACTGTTATTATCATTGGTATCAATTCTATTAATAGCATTTTTATCATTTATCATTTATATTATTATCATTATTAGTATCATCATTATAATGATTTTATTGGTATAATTATTACTATTATTATCTTCATTTTACCATTACTGTTACTACTGTTATCATTTATATTATCATTATTAGTATCATCATTATAATGATTTTATTGGTATAATTATTACTATTATTATCTTCATTTTACCATTACTGTTACTACTGATGATAGTACCACTGTCACTATTATTAATACTATTATTATTATTATTACCTTTATTAGTATTATCATTATTATTAGTAGTATTTGTATTTGTATTGTTATTAGTATAATAATGATAATCATAGCTATTATTATTGATGTTATAGTAATTCTTATTATAATTATCATTATTATTTTCATTATTATGATAATTTTTATCACTACTATTTTTTTTATGTTATTTTTGTTATTATCACTGTTGCTGTTATTAATATTATTATTGTTTTTATTATTATTATTATTATTTTCATCATTATTACTACTTTATTACTACATTATTATTAGCATTATCAATTTTGTTGTTGTCCTTATTACTAATATTATTATCCACATTATTTTCACCATCAACATCATTATTATCACTATTATTATTGTCAGTGTTGTATAGTATTTAGCATGTTTTTTAGTAATACAGGGAAAAGACACTAGTTTGTTTGGCAAGAAGAGATTAATACAGTAATAGACATTTGCACATGCATATATGATAGTGCATATGTGTGTTTATGCATTATTTGAAATAAAACAAGACATATAGAATGACATTAGTATGCATATTTCAGTAATATGTACATAGATGAAACTGGATTGCAGAGATAGAAGGAAAAGATGAAGCTGCATATACGTAGATGATAATAATCTAACAGTAATATGGCAGAAATTAAAGTACATTTAGATGTTTTAATGATGTAATAGTTTTACAGTAGAAAATCAAGGGAGCTGCCATTGATAGAAAAGTATAGGACTTGACATTCATTTTGAATCTTTACACATTTACACATAAATCTGATGAATAATGATTACTATGTCGCTATCACATACGTGCTTTAACAGTTACTTTTATTATTCTTTACTTGAAAGGTAACGCATTGTTTTGAGCTGAAATAATAAGCAATGTAACGTGTTTTCTACAGTAGTGATTCATATATTTATGATTATACTGTAATGAACTGTATGTTTCTATGTATAAATATGTATGTATGTATATTCATATGTATTATATATATACATAATATATACATATATATATATATATATATATATATATATATATATATATATATATATATATATATATATATATACACGTATGTATATACATATGCATATCAATAAAAGTAAATGTAAATATATAATAAATCTGTATATATATGTATATGTGTGTGTGTGTGTATGTGTATATGTGTATGTATGTATGTATGTAAGATCTTCTTGGGTGTTTTCTGCCCATGGAAGTCCTCCTGACATGAATGTTTAAGGTGTAGATTAATCAGGTATGTAATATTTTCCGAATCGGACGTTTCAAATGTTTCCATTGCTTCTAAAACTCATAACAAAAGCAATGGTCTAGACGCAGGAATCTTTCTTTTTTTATGAATTCAATTAGATTGGAAGTATTTGTATAGAAGAATAAGTACATATATGTTTATAAGTAATTAGAATAGAAGTTGTCTGCAGGGAAATCCTCACCTGCAATAACTCAGGCACTAAAGAAAAAAAAATTATCTTTCGCCGTTTGCATTTTCGCTTCTGCTACACCTTTATTTGAAATGCGAACTAGTTTTACGAAGGCGTAATACATATGTGTGTGTGTCTGCATGTACAGTACAAACATACATTCATTTATATATATATATATATATATATATATATATATATATATATATATATATATATATATATATATATATATATATTTATATATATATATATATATATATATATATATATATATATATATATATATATATTCATATGTATATGTATATATATATATATATATATATATATATATATATATATATATATATATTTATATATATATATATATATATATATATATATATATATACATATGTATATATATATATATATATATATATATATATATATATATATATATATATATATATATAATATGGACAACAACACAAATAATGATAAATACACAGGATTTTTATCATAATAGAAAATAAACGTATGAATGAATAGAATATTTCTTCCCGTTTTCTCTGATACTGTAGCATTCATAGATGGCGTCCAACCACAGGCAGCCACTGTGAGGATTTTTTTTTCTCTCTGTTCCTTGGTTACTTGAATTTCACAATTGTTATAAGTTTAAGTGGCAGATAGCAGCTGGTTGATGCAAGTTGACAACGCGGTGGATTTATAATAGTTTGTAAAAGACCGTGGAATTGGACTTCTGTATTGAAAAGCAAGGCTCGACAAACGAAATGACAAACAAGCACATGATGGGGTTGTATGATCTCTTGTTAGTGAGTATTATCGTGAGTGAGGATTATCCTTTGAATTAAGATGAGCAGTTCTGAATGGGAATGGTTCCAACTGGTGATACTACACTGTTTATTATTAGCAATATTACACTTCTTGTATATCAAAAGATGATATTGTTTGGGTAAAACTACGATCGGAAGCTGGATCCAAAGGCAGAGCCCTGGATATGGAAAGTTGTTGGGTCGTTTTTTCTCCATAATATAGTTCTAAAACCAGAGTATCCTGCAAACCCAAAATCCAAACCTAACCTTTCCTACCTTATATATATTCCCTACACAAGGGGAACCAAACACCTGTACCCCATCTGTTCCCCATTAACAACTTGCAGAAAAAAGTGACCTTAAAAACTGTGTTGAGGGCGTTTTGGACTCAGAGCGGTGATATGCAGTGGATATTTTCATTTCGCGGTAAATAGGAAGCTGCTGCAGCTGCACCTGTTTATTTCTCTATTCTTCTCATACTATGGCAGTGTCCATTTACAAATCTAAGTGTAAAACTTTCCGTCCATGTCAACTAGGAGTAAAGGAAAAAAAAAATAAATGTATGTAGTGGTTCCCTTGACGAAAACTAAGACCTTTTTCATTTATGGCAGAAGGTGCGCAAATCGACTATAAAGGAGATGCAGGACAGAGAAGAGAACAGGTCAATCTTCATTTTCTAAGTCCCCTTCCATGTTTACCGGCGAGGATCAAACAAATGTGACGCGGAACTCATTGCTACGCGCTTGTGAGAACGCTTATTTTGTCATTACTAGCGTCTGATTCTCTGAATTCGTGTATTTAATGCATTCTAGTTTTATTATTCTTCTCTTGCGTCTTTTGGTAATTATTTACGTTATTCTGTACAATAACCTTTTGCGCATGCGCGTTTCCACCGGGAGATTTGACAGGTCGACCCACCGCCATTCGCTGAGAAACGCCGGTGAAAAATGTTTCATTTCAAGTGCTGCGTCGACATCGGGTCATTTTTAAAACTATATTGTGGATATACAGGATAAATAGACATTATTCTCAATCACAAGCCTGATATTTGAGCCCAACAAGTGCCCCAAATACCGAAAAAAGTTATTAGAAACCAAGCAATGCTGACCATAGACGGAAGTGCAGAAAAGTTCGGTTTTTCGCTTTATAAAGGTATGGGGGGGGGGGGCTAGGTAATATAAAGATTGTATTTTCCTAAAGGCACAGGGGTCCAGGGGACATAGCCCCTTGGCTAGGCCCAATTAATACCACGGGGATCCAGGGAATGTATAGATTGTAGTGTATAAATCCCACAGGGTTAGGTTGAGTTGGTTTATTGGTTAGGACGCATTGTAAGATTAATGCAGGGGATCTGGATTGTGTGAAATCCCGTAGATTTTTGTTGAACGGTGGGTTTGGTCCCCGTAGTGTTTTTTTTTAAGTTGGCGCGTCTGCCCGTAGACTTTCGAATGTGGTGGCGATGTCCGTAGAGTTTCATCAGCTGATTTTAAGCGTTTTTTGTGCTTGTTATACGTAATTTCCCTGATCTACTCAGATTTGTTCCCATCACACGAGAACAAATCAGGGACAATATGTAGTATAGGGTAGTGGCAGAGTTGGGTAATAAAACCTACACGAAATGATACAACAATATAAACCAAGACAAAGTTCTTCTATGGCAATGTGTGTGCAAATGCTTCCTAAGGGTACTAGGCATATATATTACCACTGGAGTCCAGGGGGCAGAGCCCCCAGGCTAGGGAATATATACCAAGGTGTTAGGTTAGGTTGAAATGTTGGGTTAGGACGTTTTGTTTAACAACCACATGGGTCCTATTTTACACCACAATTTCCCTGATATACTTCATGCCCTCCCCTGCTATCGGGACTATCAAATTAAGATTGTCGATGGAGATGGTGATCATATCTCCTCAACGATTCATTTGCACAAGGAACAATGCCTAAAATTATTGAAAGCCGTGGATTTCATGCAGAAAAATATCAATTGTTTCGAAAGTAACCCACTACCCTCTTCTACATATTGACCGGGGGATCTTCTCTTTTCTTTTACATATAGCACCCTTGGGAAGCATTTGCACACATATTGCCATAGAGGAACTTTGTCTTGGTTTATATTGTTGTATCATTTCATGTAGCTTTTATTATCCAACTCTGCCATATTGACCCAAATCAGATTATATAAATATTGTCAGGGAAGACTCGATTGTCATTCTTGGAAAATTAACCCTCAAAGAGTGCCCCAAATGCCGAAAAAGGTGATTAGAAAACAAGCAATTCTGACCATAGACGGAAGCGAAAATAATATTCGGTCTTTAGCTACACAAAGGTATGTGGTTTTACCCTGGGGAACCGGGGGGGGGGGCTAGATAATATATAGATTGTACTTTCCTTAAGGCACGGCTAGCCGTGTATATTACCGCTGGGGTCCAGGGATCAGAGCTCCCTGTCTAGGGAATATATAGATCGCAGTGTATAAATCCCACAGGGTTAAGGTTAAGTTGGTTTATTGGTTAGGACACCTTGTACGATTACCACAGGGGATCTGGATTGGGAGATCCTATAGATTAAGTTTATTTACCACACAAGCTATCTGCTAAGGCGTGGGCAATCATGATTACAGTTTTACATATATCTGATGCAGTAGTCTGTAATTACTGTAATTAGTCATGGTAATATAGAAATGTAAATCATACGTCATACAAAAAGATTACGTTGATATGCTTTTGCCACTGTTTACAGAACACTGTCATGTGTTTACGACAGTTTTACATAGTAAATTTATGATATAGTACAAGTACATCTTCCAATGTATCAGATGAAATGAAGTATAACACAGTTCTTTATACCTCATGTTAGGTAGTCTTGAAAGGCTGTATCACATGACATTCCAAGATATAATGCTTCAGCATTCACTTTTCTTCTTCATTAGTCTACATTTAGATTCGTCTGCACTTCTTGCACCATGCAGTTGCCAGTACATTCTGTAACAGAAACGTATTCTGGCAATATTCACGTCACATTATCTGGTTCGACTTCGGAGCCACCTATAGGAAGGCTTGCTATCTCTGGACTGATCATAGTGCCTTATGGTACAGCTTTCAGGCCTTTGAGTGTTCGTCAGATCTACTAGTTCTTCCTTATGAGAACTTTTCAATATACGTGCAACCCTAGGAAGAAGCATCACATGACCTATGTTCACAGTATTTTTGCTGCAGGCTTCCTTCACCAATTTGTCTAGTTGGTCGTGCTTGCTTATGCCAACATGAGATGGTATCCATACAAATTGAATATTGAAATTGCGCTCTATTGCACAAGTTGAGTTACGCTTAATGCAAATCTCAATTTCCTCCTCGCCACCCCCACACACCCCACACAACTCTGGGTATAAGGACAACCCAGGTGAGGGGGGTTTATCCCTGTAAAATCCTCCAGAACACAGGAGGAATCCTAGTGATGCCCTGCCTTGGTGTTACTAGGCTTAGTCCCGTAGACTTAGTCCCGTAAAGTTTTTCGAACGGTAGCCCATAGACTTCCAAAGATGGCTGGGACGTCTGTAGAGTTTCTTTGGCTGATTTTTTCAGCCTCTTTTGCGATTTCGGATTGCAATGTTATTCTGGACTGATTAAAGTAATTAAATTCCTTAGATTGTTGACTAGGGCTAGTAGGTATGTAATAACGGTTTCATGAAATTTCTAGTACACTGATATTCGTGAAATCGGCATGGTGTAAATTACAGACTAGAGCTTGTGCTTTTATATCATAAGTATATATTAATATAATTCATATCCATGTAGTACTGCCAGCCAATCTAACCTAGAGCCAATCGGCACTTTTTAGAAAACTAGGAAATGCTAACAGATCTGTGGAAAACACCAATGAGAATTAAAGAGATGGATGGGATTAGTTAAGATAGAGTAGTAAGGGCTTTGTTATGTAAACGATTACCTTGTTACTAACTAATACAGATGAAGATATTTGTCCGAATTGTAGCATTTAATCATCTTTGCTGATTTCTGCTGCTGTAGAGATTTTGTACCTTGTGTACATGGTGCTTCTAGCTTTAAAGTATGACAGTTTTTGTAGTCTGAAGCTTTTACCATCTTGGAAAGTTCAGTTCCTATCAGATATTAACTACAACAATTGGTGTAATTTGTTTGAAAACGACATCCTTGTGTTCTCTTCACCATATATTATCAGAGGTTGTCTGGCATTTTCTCCTTGTCCATATTTCTGATAGTTAAAAATGTCTTGGAGTAGCTCTTGAGGAGCATATGCCAGTTTGTTTTTTTTCCATGTATTTCGTTTGACCTGAAACCATTTGCCTTCAATGACCCCCTGATCAGCAAACATTATTTAGTGTTTAGTATGACAACTTGTGATGGAACTCCCTGAATCACATAACGATCTGCTAATCACTATCTATTTCTGCTGTCTTCAGGCTCAAAATCAGTCATTGATTGAAACTGATACGATGGATCATATTTACATCACACTTTCTTAGCAAAAGGTTGACTTGTAAAGTATTCTTGTACATATGCACAGCCTTGAAAAAGTTGCAACAATGTAAGGATGCCATTGTTTATTTGAGGGTACCCCCCAATTCCTTGCCCGTTGTCGTCGTGGGGGGGGGGGGGGGGGGCTTACGAAGTGAAGACTGGGACCCAATGCTGGGAAACTCTGCTGCCTTGAAGCTCTCTATTTGACTAATTTTACATAGTCTTTTTTCCCTCTTGCTTTTTCGTTTGTCCCTTCCTCAACTCCTGAGGGAACCATGGGCTCGATATTCCCCTGTTTTAGGTTCTAGCCTTTATTCCTCAAGGGGACCCTAAGGGGTGGACTTTCTCTCCCCAACATATGTCATTTACCATGGCCAATAATGGTATACCATTATTAGGGGCAATGAGGCTTGCACCTTCATCAAAGAGCCTCATCAATTTAATCTCTCCCAATCCCCTGACCCCAGACTCTCCTTTGACCACGGCTCCGAACACTGCAACTACTACCCCCTCTGCAATGCCTACTAGAACATCAGCCACCCAAGTCAACACTCAATCTCCAGGATTTCTACTCTCCCACAACCCCAACAACCTTCAACAACTACCCCATCCTCCCTTAATACTACTTTACAGCTTATAGCTTTATTGTCCACCTCTCCATAATACCTCTTTCAATGCTGCACCCTCTTCCACACATCCCCGTCCTTCTACCACCCCCATCTCTACAAGTCCTCTGTTATGCCCAGCCAGATGGGAACGATTTTTGGTGATCTCCCCCCCCCCCCACAGCTCCTATCTCTGACAACACACTTCTATTCCAGCAATGTCTCCAAAAACAAATTGGCAGTCTTTCCCATCTTGTCACAGCAACCTCTGAAAACCAAGATATAGCATTAATTCTATCTCCAACCCCATTCCTGTAGAACCTTGTCCAACCCTCGATACTTGCACCAGAACTGTCTCTATCTCCCCAGCAAACTGCCTCATCTATAACAAAAAATGGTCAGATTGTGGAGAAGACTTGCTTGCCTGTCTCCCAGTCGTCATCGTAAGAACCCCACTAACATTGCAAAAATTTTCTGTAGATATGATCTTCCCTTTAATGTTTACAGTGGTGAATTCCCTCCTTGTCAGACCATTTCAACCTCCTCCCCGTCAGTGCCAAAATTGTTGGTGTTTATGACATCCTGCCAAACTTTGCTATTCCATAATCAGATGCCCTCTATGCCCAAACTGGTCATGCTGGATCAATCTGCTCTGCACTTCTACCTTCCCCAGTCAAATTCTTTTGCCATTCTAAATCCAGAACTCCAATCTCTACTGTAGCCCCAACACCTTCCTCTCTCCCTCCCCGCATTAGCACCTGAACAGATATAGCATTAATTCTATCTCCAACCCCATTCCTGTAGAACCTTGTCCAACCCTCGATACTTGCACCAGAACTGTCTCTATCTCCCCAGCAAACTGCCTCATCTATAACAAAAAATGGTCAGATTGTGGAGAAGACTTGCTTGCCTGTCTCCCAGTCGTCATCGTAAGAACCCCACTAACATTGCAAAATTTTTCTGCAGATATGATCTTCCCTTTAATGTTTACAGTGGTGAATCCCTCCCTGTCAGACCATTTCAACCTCCTCCCCACCAAAATTGTTGGTGTTTATGACATCCTGCCAAATTTTGCTATTCCATAATCAGATGCCCTCTATATGCCCAAACTGGTCATGCTGGATCAAACTGCTCTGCACTTCTACCTTCCCCAGTCAAATTCTTTTGCCATTCTAAATCCAGAACTCCAATCTCTACTGTAGCCCCAACACCTTCCTCTCTCCCTCCCCGCAGCAGACCTTTGCCTCTGCTCCTCAGACACCAGCCTCCTCTCCACCCCCCTCCCCCCCGCAAAAGAAAACTTTTGTCTCCCAATACTCCCCAACCAACTCCTTTACAGAAGCACTTGAAGATATTCAAAACTACCTACTCGAGTCCCAAACTGGCAGCCGAAACCCCTCATCCACCCTCACATTCTACAACTCCTGCTCCCTCAACTCTCCATACCAAACTTCCCAGGTCAAAATTGCCTCTTCCATATTATCCTTCTTTACTCAGTTTGAAGGCGTGCCACAAGGCAATATACTCTGTACCACTTTATTCCTCCTTACTGTTAATGACAATGTCTCGGTTCTACCACCAGAGGCCAGGTCGTCACTATGTTGATTTAACCATCTTCGCCTCTAGCACATCCATACCAAATATTGGCAATTACTCCGTATCTTCCTGGGCTCTTACCATGGCCTCCACTTTTCTACCTCCAAATCTTTCTCCATACTTTTCTCTTGCACACGTATTGGTCTCCAACCTCCACTTTCCTTGTATGGCACTCCACTCCCAATACTGTTCTAGCATATTCCTCAACTTTAATTTTGACTCCAAATTGTCCCGGCGAGACCTTATCTTTTACATTAAAGAAAAAGTCCGCTGCCGTCTCAATCTTACAAAATTTCCCATATATCCTGGGGCTCAGATCACAATCTCCTTCATCTTCACGTTACCTTGATCCTCTTCACTCGATTATGGATGCCATATCTACTCAGCCTCAAACTCTCTCCTTGCCCACCTTGATACAATATACCATTGCGCTCTTCACTTATGTGCCTTCCGCTCTTCACCTATGTGCCTTCCGCTGTCCATTTGAGAGCCTGTACACTTAATCAGCATACTATCTATATCTCGATGCTGTACCCTTCTCTCTATCTGATACTATGCTCAATTCCACCAACTTTCCCTCATTAAACTATCCACGATCCCTCCTTCCTACCTTTGCTTCTCCAAGTTTACCTACTCCTTCCTCTCCCATTCCCCCTTTCCCCATCTCCCTCTATTCTGTACATTCTGTCCCTCCGTGGCTTATACCATACCCCCCCCCCCCATATTTGCTCCTCTGTTTTCCCTTCTATCCTTTTTACCCATTTCCTTGGCCATGTCTCCATTCATTCCTCCAGTATTCATGCTTGCAATGATGGCTCCAAGTCAATCTCCGGTGCTGGTCTCGCAGTAACCTTCCCAACTCGCCCTTTCAAATACCCCCATCCTCCTGAACACTAACTTCAGAACTATATGCGCTCCTTTTTGCCTTAAAATATGTACATGTTCTCTTTATCTTTCACTATTTTTACCGACTCCCGCAACTCCTTAACGCTCAAAGTCGATACACTCAACCAACCCCCTTGTTTCCAGAACTGGTTGTCCTGCTTGTCTGCACGACATAAATCTATTGGATTTTGCTGGGTGCCCAACCATGTTGGAATCGCCGGCAATGAACAGGCAGATACTCTAACACCCTACGCCACTATGGCCTCATCACACCAACCATGTTTCTCGGATATTCCATCCACGGATTATTATCCCCACTTTAAAACCTCATATAACTGATGTCAAGCTTTCTGGTCAAGTCTCTGCACTAATAAATTACATACCGTAAAACGATCAATTTCCTCGTGGACAGCCGTTGGCAGACGACTCTCGCCTGCTTACGCATTGGCCACACCCATCTAACACACCTATCTGATGTCACACTGTAATCCACCTCTATCTTCCCTATTTAATGTCCCTCTTTCAGTTCCGCATTCTATTGTCCTGCCCTTGCTTTGATGCAGCCTGTACCTCTGCTTTCCCACTACCTATTATCGCTTCACCGACCTCTCAACCTATCAGACATCCTTACAGAATCTCTCGCTTTCTGCTTTGACCTCTTCTTCCTCAAACACATACATATCCTTCACTTAATCTAACCCCTTTACCTAACCCGACCTTAACCCATTCATTCGTTAACTCCTTTGCCCAGCTTTAGCAATAAATCACTAACTCATTCACCCTTCACTACCCTTTACTATAACTTCATATAGTGCTACATGACCTTAGATTTATTTTGCTTTTAACCGTTAACCATCATGTTAAGGGTATCCCCAGACTGGAAAATCCTAGAACATAGATTGCAAAGTAGTTTGGATGTAGGATTTGTGAAACTAAGGTTTGGAATAAGTACTGCAGTGTGATTTTTAGATATATTAGGTATATAGTCTATAAACTAAATGGTTATACTAGACTGGGCAAAATTTTCAATAGTAAAATCCACCTTACTTGTGATGCTGATTTGTAATGCAACTTATTTTCCAGATGGTCTCAGGAGTCTCCGTTGTCCTGGCAAATGAGTAAGTCTTTTCGTTTTTGTTTTGTTTTTTTAATCTAACAAAGGATTTGTAAAGAACTGCATTTACTTTAAAAATTAAAATTACTTTTCAGTTTGCGAAAGGAACGCAGTATCTCTATGGGTTACTCTTCTCTCTCATATCTGTGTGAAGCTCGGCCTGACCGTTTTCTTTGCGTTAATTGCAAGACTTTGGTCGTGTGTGTAAGAGGGCAAGCCTTCGTTCGTCACTGCATCGAAGATCATTACTGCACAGATAAAAGTGAATTTGGAGGTGGTGTGTGCTATCCTAATGAACCAGTAGAGTGTACTTGTGAGAGGCCATATATATTTCGTGTGGACCACTATGACCCACAGAGGTTTTTCTCATGCAGTGATGTAGGATCCAAACCAGAAAGTTACAAGTGTCCAGATGGTATGGTGTTTGACGAAAACCTTACACAATGTCGTAATGAAGCTGGTCTACCACCTTGTACTAAGCCTGGGACCTTTGTTAATCCAGAAAATTGTAGTGAATATTACTCCTGCATTGCCCTTAGACATGGATGGTTGCAAAAGTTCTTCATGTGTAACGGTAACACCTTTTTCAACGAGAGAAAGCAAATTTGTGAAGATCCTTGCATATACAAGTTCATGTGCGATAGTGAAGGACGCTTCCCTGACCCTGTGAATAAGCATAGATACTTTGAATGTTACCTAGAATCTGGTCAGTTGAAACAGATGCGGTATCAATGTCCTGAGGGGTATACATGGTACAATGTATCGACAGGGGTTGGCAAGTGTGTGGAGGACTATGGAATCAGCCATGATGATCACAACTTTGATCACTGCTCCCTGCCACAGGACTGGTGTCCCAGTAATGGTGAGTGGTGGTGGTGATTGATTTTCATGCTTTTCATTTAGAATAGTTGTAAGTTTTAGAATTATCCTGAAGGTATGCTGTCATTTTACATATTAAAAAAATGCGCACAAATCTTTCCAGGAATTGGACCCACAGTTCGTGTGAAAGCCAGGAACTTTCGACCCGAGTATGAGGGAGATAATATCAAGAGTGATAGTTCTTCGCAAGACCTACATGTTATATGGGTCCACTAAGGAGTGACCTCAACAATGTGGGTTGTAATTTTAAATAAATATCCCCTATTTTTTCATTATTTGTTTTACCCTTTTATATTTTACTTTATTCATCATTTGATACTTGTATAGGGTTTACTTAAACAAATGTTTTAGGCAGTAATTGGCATTTAAACAGATCATAGCCGTTTGCACAGCCGCATATGCAAACAAAACTGGGTAATTACTAGCAGTGTTCTATAAAAGTAGATAAATACCCTTATTTGTTCAAAGGTTCCTTAAGTGTCCCAAAGAGTGCACTGCATATTAAACGTTAGAGATCCTGATGTTCTTGATGCTCATTCACAACTTTTTTTTTTTTAATCTAACAAAGGATTTGTAAAGAACTGCATTTACTTTAAAAATTAAAATTACTTTTCAGTTTGCGAAAGGAACGCAGTATCTCTATGGGTTACTCTTCTCTCTCATATCTGTGTGAAGCTCGGCCTGACCGTTTTCTTTGCGTTAATTGCAAGACTTTGGTCGTGTGTGTAAGAGGGCAAGCCTTCGTTCGTCACTGCATCGAAGATCATTACTGCACAGATAAAAGTGAATTTGGAGGTGGTGTGTGCTATCCTAATGAACCAGTAGAGTGTACTTGTGAGAGGCCATATATATTTCGTGTGGACCACTATGACCCACAGAGGTTTTTCTCATGCAGTGATGTAGGATCCAAACCAGAAAGTTACAAGTGTCCAGATGGTATGGTGTTTGACGAAAACCTTACACAATGTCGTAATGAAGCTGGTCTACCACCTTGTACTAAGCCTGGGACCTTTGTTAATCCAGAAAATTGTAGTGAATATTACTCCTGCATTGCCCTTAGACATGGATGGTTGCAAAAGTTCTTCATGTGTAACGGTAACACCTTTTTCAACGAGAGAAAGCAAATTTGTGAAGATCCTTGCATATACAAGTTCATGTGCGATAGTGAAGGACGCTTCCCTGACCCTGTGAATAAGCATAGATACTTTGAATGTTACCTAGAATCTGGTCAGTTGAAACAGATGCGGTATCAATGTCCTGAGGGGTATACATGGTACAATGTATCGACAGGGGTTGGCAAGTGTGTGGAGGACTATGGAATCAGCCATGATGATCACAACTTTGATCACTGCTCCCTGCCACAGGACTGGTGTCCCAGTAATGGTGAGTGGTGGTGGTGATTGATTTTCATGCTTTTCATTTAGAATAGTTGTAAGTTTTAGAATTATCCTGAAGGTATGCTGTCATTTTACATATTTAAAAAAATGCGCACAAATCTTTCCAGGAATTGGACCCACAGTTCGTGTGAAAGCCAGGAACTTTCGACCCGAGTATGAGGGAGATAATATCAAGAGTGATAGTTCTTCGCAAGACCTACATGTTATATGGGTCCACTAAGGAGTGACCTCAGCAATGTGGGTTGTAATTTTAAATAAATATCCCCTATTTTTTCATTATTTGTTTTACCCTTTTATATTTTACTTTATTCATCATTTGATACTTGTATAGGGTTTACTTAAACAAATGTTTTAGGCAGTAATTGGCATTTAAACAGATCATAGCCGTTTGCACAGCCGCATATGCAAACAAAACTGGGTAATTACTAGCAGTGTTCTATAAAAGTAGATAAATACCCTTATTTGTTCAAAGGTTCCTTAAGTGTCCCAAAGAGTGCACTGCATATTAAACGTTAGAGATCCTGATGTTCTTGATGCTCATTCACAACTTTTTTTTTTTAATCTCCCCACGGCCCTGCCACTCAATGGGGCTTAAAGGCCAGTCCACACCTATGAATATTATCGGCATGCAACTAAGGTGGTGATGTCACATGCTCATCAAGTGTGCCCGGTGATCAAGCTTACTGTGGATAGACTTTACCCCTTTCCCCATTTTATCCAATCCATTTGCAACCCCTCTTATCCAACACATTGTCTAAATCATTAATTCTAAATTTACCCTTGTTTAAAAAAGAATAATTGAATGGCACTTTAACATCCTTTCTAATGACTGAAATTACAGGCATCACAAAGTATGAAAGCTGTTGTCAAGTACCAGGAATCAGTCAGATAATGCAAATACCGAATATCAAATATTTGACTTTTAGAACATAACCCCACAAAAGGGAACTTGTTTAATAGTTTGTCAATATAGAAGCATTTGCAAACAGACTATCCACCAGGTCACTCGTACATAACTACTGGAGACCTTACATCAAAAAAATGTGCGAGTTGTGTGCTTCGTAAACATTTTTCAGGCAACTGACTTCGTATTTAAAATTCCTGCAATAGCCTTTGCCCAAATCTAACTTCATCCATTTCCAATGCCAACTATTCTATATCTATATACTGGGATATATGGAAAATTTGACCGTGAAGGATGCTTTCCTTGAACTTATTAATGAAAAAATCTTTAGACCTTTCAAAAGTTATCAGGAATACATAATCGAATGGAATGTCATGAGACCTGCTACATTAAAGAAAATATGGAAAAGTGGGAATTTAGATAAGTTTGTATCCATATGTGGTATTGGTCAAAATTTTCCGCCTTCAGTGCAATTTTTTTCCCCCTATTACCTATATTTTCCCAGTCTCCCTCTCCTAAAACCCCCACGGCAACGATCAAGGTTTTTTTTTTTTTCTTTTTTCTTTTTTTTTGGGGGGGTTGCTAACTGTTATCCTTAACACCACTGAAAATGAATTAGTAGATATGTAAGTATTAACACCTACCCAACTGCCCCCTCCCAATCCCTTGCTCGTTGTTGTGGGGGGGGGGGGAGAGATTTAAGAGCTGGATATAGGGAACTACCCCAGCCTTGGACCTTGACTAATTTTGCAGGGTTTTTTCCCCCCCTTATCCAACACATTGTCTAAATCATTAATTCTAAATTTACCCTTGTTTAAAAAAAAAAAAAAAAAAAAAAAAAAAAAAAAAAAAAAAAAAAAAAAAAAAAAAAAAAAAAAAAAAAAAAAAAAAAAAAAAAAAAAAAAAAAAAAAAAAAAAAAAAAAAAAAAAAAAAAAAAAAAAAAAAAAAAAAAAAAAAAAAAAAAAAAAAAAAAAAAAAAAAAAAAAAAAAAAAAAAAAAAAAAAAAAAAAAAAAAAAAAAAAAAAAAAAAAAAAAAAAAAAAAAAAAAAAAAAAAAAAAAAAAAAAAAAAAAAAAAAAAAAAAAAAAAAAAAAAAAAAAAAAAAAAAAAAAAAAAAAAAAAAAAAAAAAAAAAAAAAAAAAAAAAAAAAAAAAAAAAAAAAAAAAAAAAAAAAAAAAAAAAAAAAAAAAAAAAAAAAAAAAAAAAAAAAAAAAAAAAAAAAAAAAAAAAAAAAAAAAAAAAAAAAAAAAAAAAAAAAAAAAAAAAAAAAAAAAAAAAAAAAAAAAAAAAAAAAAAAAAAAAAAAAAAAAAAAAAAAAAAAAAAAAAAAAAAAAAAAAAAAAAAAAAAAAAAAAAAAAAAAAAAAAAAAAAAAAAAAAAAAAAAAAAAAAAAAAAAAAAAAAAAAAAAAAAAAAAAAAAAAAAAAAAAAAAAAAAAAAAAAAAAAAAAAAAAAAAAAAAAAAAAAAAAAAAAAAAAAAAAAAAAAAAAAAAAAAAAAAAAAAAAAAAAAAAAAAAAAAAAAAAAAAAAAAAAAAAAAAAAAAAAAAAAAAAAAAAAAAAAAAAAAAAAAAAAAAAAAAAAAAAAAAAAAAAAAAAAAAAAAAAAAAAAAAAAAAAAAAAAAAAAAAAAAAAAAAAAAAAAAAAAAAAAAAAAAAAAAAAAAAAAAAAAAAAAAAAAAAAAAAAAAAAAAAAAAAAAAAAAAAAAAAAAAAAAAAAAAAAAAAAAAAAAAAAAAAAAAAAAAAAAAAAAAAAAAAAAAAAAAAAAAAAAAAAAAAAAAAAAAAAAAAAAAAAAAAAAAAAAAAAAAAAAAAAAAAAAAAAAAAAAAAAAAAAAAAAAAAAAAAAAAAAAAAAAAAAAAAAAAAAAAAAAAAAAAAAAAAAAAAAAAAAAAAAAAAAAAAAAAAAAAAAAAAAAAAAAAAAAAAAAAAAAAAAAAAAAAAAAAAAAAAAAAAAAAAAAAAAAAAAAAAAAAAAAAAAAAAAAAAAAAAATCCCTTTTGTGTAGTTCCATCATGTCATCACATTGGCTGAAAAGGAAGTTCAATACTGAGATAGATATATTTATTCATTGAAAAGCCGCCACATCAACAAGCTCATTAGTGGAGTATTCAAAATATAGCAACAGCGTGAGACTTGGGGGCAAAGCCCCCAGGTAAGTAAGTGCTATAAGACATCAAAGATTATATGGCCGGTCGACGAAGTGAAGATGGGGGAAAGCAGCAGGTTGCGGCAAAGTGTGGACAGAAACAAAAGAACGTGTGGAACTGAAAGAGGGACATTAAATAGGGAACATGGGGCAGATCAGAATGTGACCTCAGATAGGAGAGTGTGGCCAATACATAAGCGGCGAGAGCCATCTCCCAACTTCTGTTCTGATGAAATGGAGCTAACTAGGAGGAAATTGATAGTTATACACTACGTAATTAATTAGTGCAAAGACGACCAGAAAGATTGCCATTTGGTATAAGGAAAGATCTTAAAATGAGGGTAACAACCCGGCTGGATTCCAACATGGCTGGGCACCCAGCAAAATCCGATAGATTTATGACGTGTGGATAGGTAGAACAACCAACTCTGAATCTTACAGATAGAGATGGTCGAGTGCATAGACTTTGAGAGACGAGTCACGGGAGTCAGTAAAAATAGTGAATGATAAAGTGAGCATATATATGTTCTAAGGCAAAAAGGGGCTCATACAGTTCTGTAGTAAGGACACTGGGTTCAGGGGGGAGGGTTGAAAGTGCGAGTTCGGAAGGTTGTGAAACCAGCATCGGAAGTGGATTTGGAGCCATCAATGCAAACATGAATACTTGAGGAATGAATGGAGACATGGTCAAGGAAATGGATAGCAGGGGGATATTAGATTTTGATGAGTCGAGGAAAACAGAGGAGCAAATATGGGGGTAAGGTAAAAGCCAT